AATCGCAAAATGATGCGTGGGGCTTCAAAGCCGTGGAGTTTGTGTTGGCGCTGACTTAGTTAAGTAGATAAATAGGGTATTTTGGAATCTAATAATTATAGAGACTTCAAAAATTCATATCTTAGTGTAGAAAAATCATTTTTTTAAATTAAGTAAATACTCTAGAGAGTAATTAAATCATAAATAATTTATGATTATAACTTAAATGAAAATTTGAGGGTTTATTCTTGATGATGTTCGGAGTCTTCTGTGAATTTTCTAGGGTTAGAGGATATTTTTATGATGAAAAGACCTAATTTTTAAGATATTTGATACTATTTTTGATTAAAAAATTCTAAAAAAAATTAAAAAAATATAAAATCATGTTTGGTAGGTTTACTGTGTTCAAAGGACCACATGAAAAATAAAATTCAGATTTAAAAGAGTTTCATTTACTTTTTCTTATTTAAAATTAAAAAAAATTACTAAAAATAAGGAAAATATAAAATAATTCAAATAATCACCAAAATGAGCCAAGTTGTTGGTAATCACATTAGGAGGCGTTTGTAAAAATTTGGAAATCAGAATAATTATTTTTAATATAATAATTTTGGTTTAAATAATTATATAAAATAAAAGAAAAATTAGAAAATTATGAAAATTAGTTTGGAATGTTCTTTGAGACCAGAAAAACTTAAGGAAAAAAAATTGAAGTCAAAATTTAAAACTTTATTTTTAATAATTAAATGCTTTCCCTAAATTGAAGTCAAAATTTAAAACTTTATTTTTAAGTTGTTTTTCTAATTTTGAAAATAATTAAAAATAGTAAAAATTACCTAAAATATAAAATTACTCTAAATTAACCTAAGTAACATCTTAACTACAAAGAATAACTGAAAGAGGTGTTTGTAAATTTCTAGAGGTGTGAAAATGTATTTTTAATAATTAAATGCATTTTCCTTAACTTTTAAATAAAATATTTATAATAACTAAAATAAAAATTACAAAAATATAAAAATTACTTCTCTAAGTTTCCTGAAGTTAGAGGTACTATGAAAAATAAAAAAATGAATTTTTGAAATAAAAATATATTTCCTTTTTATTTACCCACTAAAATTAATCCATAAATTATAAAAATTAAAGATATAATTCAAAAATTCACAAAAATTATTTCAAGTGGTCCTCTGATCTAGATAAGCCTCTGATAATTTTTCTAAGGACAAAAGGTTTATCTTAGTTAAATAAAATAATTATCATTGAAAATTCCTATTTCTTAAACTAAAATAATTATAAAAATAAAATAAAAATCAGAAAAATATAAATTCTCCTCTGATGTTTTAATTAACCAATGAGTAAGCTAACAACAAAGTTTTAAAGTTATTTGAGTTAAATTTAAGGAATTATGAAGTAGAAAGCCTTAGGGACAAGATTTTAGTTATGGAATTTTGAACTTTAATTAAGATTTAGGTCAAACCAGAGGACAAATGTGTAATATTTATGATAATTAACTCTCTGGAATAATTGAAACATAGAGGGTTAAAGGGTTGAAAACAATTCATGTTATTTTATATGAAAGGGTAAAAGTGTAATTTTTGAAATTATTGTGGTTTGGAAGTCAATTAAGTTGGATGAATCTAATGTAAAGGGCTTAATTTAGGAAGATGATAACCCAGTAATTTAAAGCTCTGAATCAATGGTTAAATGATGATACAAACTTTGATAAAGTTTAATCTCATCTCATTTTGACATTTTTTCAAAAGTACAAATTTACCTATCAAGAATTAAAAGCTTATTAGTGAACTGGGCTTGAACTAAAATCAGTTAATGAGATTTAGAAAAGAAAAATGCATTCAATTACAACCCCCTCAAACATTACAAGCTCAATTTCTATCAAAGAGGTAATATTTTTTTAATGGCTTAGTTTTCCCTTAAGGGCGATAATCTATATAATTCCTAAAAGAAACATCAAATGAATGACTAGTTACCCTACTCATGTGATAATTTAAAGATTAAAGTTCACTACACATAGGTAAGAAAATCACAACTAAATCCTAATTTAACTAGGGGACTATTAATTCAACATGGTAATAAGTTCCAATGAACTCGAAATGATTCAAAGGGTTTTAAAAGGTCTTGAGGTTCAAGCCCCGGACACTTTTGTAATATTTTTGGACATTTGAACTTATTGTTCGTATTTCAAGAAAATCATCTTTGAAACCTTAGGGACCCACCATAATATGACTCGGGACCCATTAACTCACCATTCTAATAAAATACAATACACTACTTATCCAACATTTATAGTCCAATGCTCAAGAGTTTGGGTCTTGGATAAGGTATCCAAATCCTTGTAAGCAACTGAGGATATTTCTTAATGCCACATATGGATCACTGGGCTTGTGTAATTCGGAGGTCTAGGTGGAGAGGACGATAATGACATTGCTTATGTGTGCCAAACGTTGGATATGAAGTGAGATTTTCACTTGGAGACAAGATATAAAACAAATATATTTGTTAGTGGGCTGATGTCGCTACAGTGACATATACTATTAGGAGGCACCTTAATCAATTACGAGTCAAAGTTTGACCATTGAATGATCTTTGAAAGAACTAACATAATAAGTTGTTAAATGATTTGACTTTGAGCCAAGATGATGTAGAATCCAAATAAATTTGATATGTTGGTTCTAAATAAATCTGATCCAAAATTTTGTCTCGTACCTTGCGTGTTTATTTCATCTTGAGTTTCATATGTGAGTCAAACTTAGGATCCATTTCTGAGAAAAAATTTTTTTTTGAACTTAATCTTATTCCCAATTTGGCACGTACCTCAGGATTTGACAATTCTAGATTTGTAGTATTTATTAAAACCCATTCAGAATAAATGCTACTTTCAACAGAACAGCCCCTCAATCCAAAGGCTAATATTTTGTGCCATAGAACATTACAGATCTCACCATCATCTTATAAATTTTTTCTTTAAGCTTAGCAATACTTCCTATCACAGAATAGGTTGGATGTATTCCTCCACTTAAACCAAGCAACTAGAATTGTATTAATTAACTACATCCCCATCTATATCACCATCACTTTGAACAAGAGACCCAAGATATCTAGAACTTTCACACTTTTAAAATTATTTGATCACCCACTAGCTACAACTCTTCCACTAGAGCTACTACTACTAAAATTAAATTTCAAGTATTTAATTCTAGACCCACTCAAACAAATTACTTTAGACTCTAATATTGGCCTCCATAATTTATGTTTTTCCTATACTCTTTCTCTAGTCTTATCCACAAGAAGGATATCACCGGCAAAAACTCTTTCTCTATTCTTATCCACAAGAAGGATATCACCGGCAAAGAACATACACCAAGGTGCATTCCCCAGTAAATTTCTAGTAAGAGCATCCATAAATAAAGCAAAAAAATATGGGCTTAAAGCCGATCGCTGATGTAATTAGGGGTGTTAAAGATCTGATTTCAAGCTAAGCTCAGGTTGGCTCAAAATCTGCTTGAAAAAATGTGATTCAAAATTTTGGTTGATAGCTTGGCTCGTTTATTTTAATCTGATCTCGATCTAAGCCAAAATTCTAGTTAAATTTTGAGTGATTAATGAACTTCAACCTAAATTTGCTAAATTCACAGTCATATGTTGTTAATAATCAGATTTCTAGCCGAGCTAGCGTTATCTTGAAAAAAAATTGATCCAAAATTTTGGCTAGATGCTTGGCTCATTTATTTTGATCTGATCTCAATCCGAGCCAAAATTTGAATCAACCTTCCAACGATCATCAAGCTAAATTCCCAGCCCTAGATGTAATCCAACTAAAATAGAAAAATATTTGACAACCTCTCTAGTTGTTAAATCCTTAACCCTGAAAATTTTCATCAAAGCAAATGAAAAAAAAATGAAAATAAAGATAACAAATTATCTTCCTCGGCCATTTCGGGTAGCAGCGGAATGGAAGGAGGTGAAAAGTGGAAGTTTTTTTTATCACTGTAAGCTGTGATCCCACCACTGTATTCTCTAGCTAGCTCCTATTGTGACTTTATTGCAAGGGTTTAAGGGATGAAAGCATTGGTTTTGGACAAAACACGGAGACACATGCGAGGTTTTCTGGGAGAGGCGAGGGCTTCGAGTAGAGAAGATGAGAGGTCGGGAGGAGAGATTAGGGCAAGACTGAGAGGGAGGTGATTTTGGGCAGTATATAGGATTAGTTTTAACGGCTTATAAACCACTTTTATTGTGTCAGCTATTTTAACACTATTACCAACAACCATTCGTGTCACTTAATAATAAACTGTGTCGGCTAAAACACCGTCAGATGACGGCCTCGAAGATAACAGATGAACTATATCCATTAGTTAATATTTTTTTATAACTAACGGGTTATTCTGTCAGTTATAATTAAAAGCAGTCGAAAAATAAAATATTGTTAATAAGTGAACATTTATATTGTAGTTATGCTTTCAAAAACAACCACAAAACCTTTGGAAATTAAAATATTTTTTTTGACGTATAAAAAGCCGTCGGTTTTTCTTTCAGTTTTAGTGTTTTGCTTTAGTGATTTTTTTTTTTTTAATTTCCTTCATCCATTGCTAGCTAGAAACACTTATGTGCTTCCATTTACCCAACTTACCAATCATCACAAAGTCACAATTACATACATTAGCAAGTGTTCAGAAATATAAAGCAGCTAGTTAGAATTCATTTGAAGGATTCACATTGCCTATAGTGAGAGTTATTTTTTATCAAATTATTTGTTCTAATTTATTTTAGGAGTCTGAAAACAAATTAAAGAAAACATAATTTGACTAAATATGCTAATAATTAAATTCACTTTTTAATTAAAAATCTTGTACCTTGATTTAAAAATAGCTTCTTCGTATGTTCATACAAAATATTTTTCAATTATTCCATAAAGTACTAAATTCAATACTGACACATATTCCTTAATAGTTATCTTATTTATTAAAAAAATTTACTTTTTTTAATTATATTGTTTTTGTTGCAAGGACTTATTTATAGCAGGTACTGATACCACAGCTTCAACTATGGAGTGGCTTATGTCTTTACTCATTAAACACCCAAACATCATGAAGAAGGTTCAATCAGAGGTAAGAAATACTTTCCAAGGAACAGCAAATATAGAGGAGAGTGACATAAGCAAGCTGCCTTATTTGAATCAAGTTGTCAAAGAAACCCTTAGACTGTATCCAGCAGCCCCTCTACTGGCTCCTAGACTTTGTCGCGAGACAATCGAATTAGAAGGCAACACAATACCAGTTGGAAGTCGGATAGTGATCAATGCATGGGCCATCATGAGGGAGCCGAGATGTTGGGATAATTCAGAGAGCTTTCAACCTGAGAGATTTGAATATACATCATATGATTTTAAAGGGTCTAAATCCGAGTACATTCCTTTTGGTGGAGGAAGGAGGATGTGTCCAGGCATCGCATTTGCAATAGTTGGCTTATCTTATTGGTTTGCACAATTACTCTTCCACTTTGATTGGGAGCTCCCTGAAGGAAGAAGGCCTGACGAATTGGACATGGAAGAAGATTTTGGTTTGACAGTATCTAGAAAAAATGATTTGCTCCTAGTTGCCACTTGATACAAGTAATCCTCCAATGCGTAGAAAAAATAATATATCATGTTTTCCTAAACGAAAAACTAGTACCTTTACCTTTTGAACCGTGTTTTTAGACAGTTCTTGCAAAATTTACTTGTACATCTGTTGTATGATACTGTTAGGCCCTAGGCCCATGAATGTGATCATTGCACTGTTACAAGTTGGCTTTTTACTTGCTGCACACGAAAACGTCGGGAAAAAATGCTTCCTAATGCACCATGTATGCACAAATCATATAAAAATATCCTTTTTAGGAATTTATTAAGCAGGAATAGTTGAAGTTTAATCAGCATGTAAAGGAACTTAATTCAGTGATTACATGTGATAAAACTTGTTGAGAAATTAGGGCAAAGAAAAATAGTAATCGACACAAATCTAGAATAACACAGATTTAACGAGGTTCGGCAAAGATGCCTACGTCCTCAGGAGCAGAGCGGCGAGTTCTTTCACTAATTCAGAAAAGAGAATACAGAAATCAGGAATACTTCCCGAGGTTACTAACAGACCAATTTATAACCTCAGGAGTAAACCCTAAGTACAATACATAATTACAGCATTACCCCAGTACCGTACCGCGGGGCTTTGCCCCCGCACCCCCGATCTACGTAACTTCCCGATTTGGACAAATTCTTCCGCTCCTCTTAGATCCAGTGTCTGTCCCTATATGGTATATGAGTCATACCATAACAAATCTCCACCTTGGCGAATATCCAACCCCTTAGGAGAAAAGATACCTGAGAGTTACACCTGCATCACTGTGGGTTGGGTCACCATGCTTCTCTAGCAACTGCAAACATTCAACAAGTCCAAGCAATGCAAGAACTTGTTGATATTAACTGGCTTGGTCAACATATCAGCTGCATTCTCATCAGTATGAAACTTCTGCAACAATATCTCCCCAGAAGCAATCAACTCTCTAATCTTGTGATACCTGACATCAATGTGCTTGGTTCTCGCATGGTACACCTGGTTCTTAGCCAGATAATAACACTATGACTGTCACAATGCAACTGAACTCTACCTTACTCAACACCCAGTTTCTTTACTAGCCCAATAAGCCATAAGACTTTTTTAGCAGCTTCAGCTACTGTCATGTACTCAGCTTCAGTTGTAGATAATGCCACAATAAACTGAATTGTTGATTTCCATCATATAGGCCCTCCACAAAGAGTAAACACATACCCAGTTGTAGACCTTCTGTCATCCAAATCACCTGCATAGTCTGAATCAACGTACCCCACAACTGAATGATCATTCTGCTGACTGCCAAAAATAATTCCATATTCTAGAGTACCTTTCAGATACCTAAAAATCCACTTGACTACTTCCCAATGCCGCCTTCCAGGTTTAGCCATGTGTTTGCAGACTTGGCTAATAGCATGAGCCAAATCAGGAAGTGTACATACCATTGCATGCATCAAGCAGCCAACTGCACTGGCATATGGAACCTTTTATGGAACCTTTGCGGAACCTTTGCCATGTCTTCAATTTCTGTATCTGTCTTAGGACATTGTTCTGAAGAAAGCTTAAAATAATTTGCCAAAGGAGTGCTTACAGGCTTTGCTTTGCTCATCTCAAACCTTTTCTGCACTTTCTCAACATAGCCTCGTTGAGATAAAGATAATCGTCTTGAGCCTCTGTCTCGATGAATCTCCATTCTAAGAATCTTCTTCGTAGGACCCAAGTTTTTCATGTCAAATTCCTGGCTCAATAAAGCTTTCAAACTACGAACATCATTCATATTCTTTGCAACAATTAGCATATCATCAACATACAATAATGGAAAAAATAATAGAACCATCATCAAGAATCTTCACATAAACACAACAATCATACTCACATCGCCTGTAGCCAATCTGAATCATGTAGGAGTCAAACCGCTTGTACCAGTGTCTCGGAGATGTCTCCAACCCATACAACGATTTCTTTAACCTGCAAACCAGATGCTC